CAATTCGGTATCCCCAGCGGGTGTCATCGCATTCATGTACACTCCATATTCCAGAAATGGAGAGTCCGTAACTGCGTACTTCATTTGAATGTGGTGCCAGTTGTACTTGGGCTTCTGAAGAACAACGCATCCTACGCCATGCTAAATATGCAGTCACGCCCACCCTACCGCTGGGATATGCAGTTTGCCTGCCCCTGCATGTGCCATCTACCCAGGGAAAGAATAGGGCTTGGAGTTGATCAAACCTTTTTCTGGGTCGTGCCACACATTCCATCTTCGTTTGGGATCGTGATGGCAATCGAATCAAGCCTATGGCGGCTGAGGTCGCCAATGTACGAGAGAGTTTATTTTTTCCACTCAGACAGACTTTCACAGCCTTCGTAACCCCTGAAGAACGGAAGGAAGACTCAACTAGCTTCAACCGGAGTCGAGCCGGGATTTCGTCTTTACCGAAGAAATTTCAGACGGCACCGTTCACCGCTACACCCCCTCCGGTCATCCACTCACACCAAAAATTGTAGAAGTTGAGACTTCATAAAATATCCCAATAGAAAAGCCCAAAGTCAGTCCAGTTGAAAAAGTGAGCGGGACGCCATTACAGATTTTTTTGTCACTTCCCATAACGTCGATATCGATCCGCTCTGATTCGACTGTGCAAATTTCTGTAAAAAGCAGCGTAGTTTTTCGGCCAGTAAAATTAGCATTTTGCGCCGAAATGCTTCGTGTCCGTAGATTTCACGAATGGGCTTTTGATTCTGAGTCATTCACTGGGGGAGTGGCACTTTTTCTTCCTCCTGAGGGCCCCTTAGGGAGCGCCTAAGGACTCCTTGTGCAAAGAGAGGGGAATGCCTTAGCCGTAGTCAATATGGGATCTTAGACTAAGCCAGGAAGAGAGGTCGCTAGCCTAGTCAGTTGAAGGGAAACGGAGTTTTCGTTACGGTAATTCCAATTTCGCGCAAGCAAAGCCTCCCCCTTAGCCTGCTGGCTTTCTTTACCGTTTTGTTCCAGACCTGTTTTTTAACCGTACGAAATTCAAGATTTGGAAGCAGTCTGACCTGATGGGGATACCAAGTGGTACTCAGCCGAGCTTGCAGAGGTCATCTTGTAAAGACAAAGAATTCCCAGATCTCATCTTGGTGCACAGGTCCCGTTATGCACCTAACATGAACAAAGAAAAGGAAGTAAAGATAAAGGAAAATGCCTCCTCCAAGCCGAACAGTGCCAAGGTTTATTTTTCTAAAGTTAAAATCGTGCTGAAAAAGGTTTTTTTGTGTGATAGCATTGAAGATGATCCATCAGCTCATGCCAACTGAATTTGTGCCGTGAAATTGTAGTGAAAAGGGATTGTGGCAGTGTTAAATCAACTGGAATAGAATCCGATTCGGACGACCTCTATCGAACATCGTCGTTCTATTGCACTTTCACCACCATCATCATCAGTCCCAGCACCACCACTCTCGACATCATTTCATCGATTGTCGTCACACCGTTTGAAACCCTGCAAAATTCTTTAAACTGAGACGGCCTGTTACTTATCTGATTACCATTTATTTCAGCGAATTCTTCCTCATCCTTACACTGGAGCGCGGACATGGCCGAGCAGGCGACATTGTCACTTCAGGTCAGTCGCCGTTCCTCAGATGATGGGTATCATGCAAGTCACGTTGGGGATGCTTAGCGAGGGAGTTCCTGGGAAAAACTCCAGGAGAAGCTAAGAAGTTCAGGTGGTAGGTGGGATGCGCTACGGGGATGGAGACAGTGCCGAAAGCAGGAAGCTTCGAGGAAAAGGTTGGGCGGAGGGTGGCTTCATGCAATGGGACGCCCTCTCACATCCCACCTACGCTATCGCCAACATTTCCTCGAATTGTGTCGTAGGGAGGGGGTGAAATGAAGTGCGGGCAGACAAAAGCAAGCGAAACTCGTAGTTTTACAGCACCGGTGACTATAGTGGACGGGTGGAGGCGGTGAAGCACATATAGTGTGCATGAAACCGAAGAAAATATTAATTCGGGGAAAACTTGTTTGTGGCCAAATACGACCCCTTCCTCCTCTCGAGTGACAGATCATTACCCTCCATCGTTGAGGTTCTAACGTACGAGGAGCCCCGGTACACACGGACAGCCTCTGTGCTGGGCAAAGTTATATTCAAATCACACGGTACTCTCACTGCCTTGGAGGCGGAGTCTGGAGGCGGAGTCGCTGGAATTGAGGAGGCGTCACTGAACCTTTTGCGTTATAGCGCCCCTCCCTTACATTTTTGCCGCGAAACCGGTACAGGATTGTTCGTCGCGGACCACATTACCCTCCCAACGCCATATTTTCAACTTCTATACCTAATCGCGGACCGTGCCTTTAAGATCTCAGTGTTTCTCGAGGCTTATCAAAAACCTCGGGTGGAGGGGGAGGAATAAACATCTGACCAACTAATAGTGATAGGAAAATCGCCAACTAAGGTAATGAAGGATCCTTCAAGAAGAAGGGAATTGTGCTGAACGAACAATTCGCCCATCGTTCGCCATAGCGTGTAATGTGTAAACAGAATTGGCTCGAAAATAAAAATAAATTAAACAATAAGGGCAGCACAAAAGTGTGGTAATGTTAGGAAGGGCCTCTCAAATAGTACCGTGGCCCTCATCTCAGAGGGGAGTCATGAAAAATCGGGGTTAATGAAAATTAGATTCCACTGTGAAGGAAAGGCGAAAAAGGAGAAGTTGTGACTAGGAATCCTTGGGTAGGCGAAAAAGGAGAAGTTGTGACTAGCATCCTTGGGTCTTTACCGCTCAAATGTGACCATCGCTCTCTATCCGTCTACAAGAGTGAGCGAGCTAGTGTTTGTATGTTCTCCGCCCCTTCATCTCACATCAGCGGAATAAAAAGCTGCATGTGGCTAGAGTAGGGCGTGCATGTCTGCTGCTAAGAATTAATATGGCGTGGAAAGTGATGTTTGTATTACTGTGGCGAAGAGAGCAACAACTTAAGATCTCAGAGGAGAAGAAAGCTTGACGCTGTGTGACGCTTGTAAGACCAGTCTTGAAACCGCGCCTCTGATGGGACGCCTTGAAGCACATTTGTCTTATGGAGGGGGAAAGCAGCCCCACCTGCCATTGTGTATTCTTTGGTGGCGCGCCCCTCTTTCTGAAACGCCGTGAGCCGTGAGAAGCACCTGCTCAAATGAGGAAAAGCAAGCGCGTTAAGGCCTGCCACTCGCTGACAAAACCGACTAGCGTCGGTAGTGACTATAAAATTTTGGCGCCCCTCTTAACGCCCAATAGTAATAGCGGAGCAGTAAATGGCAAAATTAATACTGAAATATCCCCTTTTCCACTTGTAACTGCTTCAGAGTCAACTCAAACTCGCGAAGGACATGGGTTATCAAGAAGATGTCGTTCTTGCTGCACTGGCCACATTGGAGAAGGACAAAGAAGGGGTGTGTTTGGTTTCATTAGCGATCAGGGTTTCCCACCAGACAGCAAGGAAGGGGAACAGGAGGGTTTTTTCAGTTGTATCTACCATTCGAAAGCACAAACGCCATGCTAGATGTCCTGAATAACACCTCTGTCCGTTTGAGCTCAAGTGATTCATTAGGAAATGGCGTTAACGACCTCAGGTTCGTATTTTGCCAAGTCAGGCCATTTGACTTATGCTGGTCGTATGGGCGTGGTCAGGCTTGCCATGGTGCCTATCGCGATCCCTCTTCTTCAAGGGAGAAGGAGGAACACAGAATGGTAGGCCTGACCCCTCCCACACAGTCAACCTCATCTGCATCATTACCATAGCACCCTTTGGAACTTCACGGCGTTCAGGACGAATCGCAGTCCATCGAAGAACGTGCCGCGTTCGTCGTCGTTCCACGCCGGTTCACCTTCCTCAAGTCCACGAAGTGAACAGCTCTCGCGACTAATTCGAACATTCGAACGGGAGAAAATTCGCGATCGTGAAGCTGGCCGATAGTCATATGGCCAGGCTCAAGGTAACTATTACTAGTAATTTTTGAGAACAAATTCGCCGTCTTGCAATCCAGCGATGAGTGTGGAAGCGACTGGCCGACTCACCTCAATTAT